GCTGTTTGAAGTCTGAAGGCAAGGACGGAAACCGCGGGAGTAAATAATTCTGCCCTGGTGTCTCCTAAAAGCAGGGTGCTCCTGATGGCCTGATTTTTGTAGCCTCATAATTTCCCCTGCGCCCAGCCATGACTGGTTGCATCTAAGCAACCGCCATATTCAGGCGGCCTGGAGGGCTCTGGTGACAGTGCTCTGGTGCTCTGGTGACAACATGGTGGGGGTCACTGGCGAACAGGCAGGGAACCCAGGTTTCCTCTTCTGATTGCTTCACATGCAGCTGATTTCAACAATTCCGTTTGGCTCCCGCTGCTTCTCTCTAAGCTGTTGGGAGGTCGTCCTAGCTTTTTTGGTAAACCCTGTTTAGCATGGGGTAGGGGCACGCACTGGGGTCACCCATTTTTCCATCAGCTCCTGGCTGGTAGAGCCTCCCCGTAACCCCAGCCCTGGAAGCTCCTCTCTGACAGTTTCCTGGTGTCTGCCACTACCGGTTTGTTGGAAGGGAGCGGGGTAAGGATGGGAAGGAAGGAGGGAGCCAGGGAGAGAGGGAGGGGTGAGGGGAAGGAGGAAGGGAGGGGAGGCGCCCCGTTCAGACAGGCTCTGTGTGTGGTCCCAGGCTTGTCCTGCTGCATGAAACCCATGCTTCATTCCTGGCTCGGGTTAGACTTACACGTCACTGAATGGGCCCCTTATCCACTTTCCAAAACACTGAGGAGGTTTGAAAGGGCCCTGTGGGCAGACGGTTACTATCAGCAAAAGCAAACAACTGGCATATTTAGCTAAGCAGTTTTGAATATTTAAACACCATCACCTTCAGCTCTTCACAAGCATCGTGGCAGAGAAGGCAGGCAGGCAGGAGGGACGGAGTGCAGCGAGGGTTTCCCCAGCTGGGTCGCCCTCCTTTTAGAGGGAAGCACCCCCAGCTCCCAGGTTCATTGCCAGCTCCAAAGCCAGGATCCAGGACTGGTGTGGCTTCCAAGCCTGGGGCCCAGGGCAGGCTGGGGGGCAGCTCAGTGTGGGAGTCCCTAACACCCCTGTTGCAATCACTTATGGTCTAAGGGTCTAAGTTGGACCTAGGGTCCCCCTCTTCAAAATATAAAAGTCCAGGCAGCCCCATCCTGCAGAAAAGAGGCTCCCCAGTGGCAGCATAATTACCACACTAAGCCGGGAAGCTGAGGGCATCCCAAGCCAGGAGCAGGTACAGCAAATATTATCCCTGTGGGCCCAGGCTGGGTTTCTTGCCCTAGGGATCGGGGCCTGTAAAAACAGCCCAGCCCAAGGCTGTGACAGACTACAGTGCCTCCACAGCAGGGATCCCTCCCTGCCTGGACAGGATGGCACCAGACACCAGCCCACCAGACCTTGTCCCAACAGCTGAAAGTGGCTTTCTGGTTTATGGAGCAAGACCTGTAAAGTCAGGAATTTTCCTTGGCCAAAGCAAAGCCTGCGGCCCCGCCCGCATCTCAGCTCAGGGAGCCCAGCCAGGCCTCCGGCCAGGCTCCCCCAGTGCCACCCGAAGGACTCAATGGGCTCCCTGTCTGCCAGAGCTAACCAGACTCCTGGCGGGGAGCAGAGCAAGCCGGAGGTGACAAGGGACGTAGGGGAGGACAGGGGACTTTTTCTCTCTGGAGGCTCTACCAGGGAAAGCCTGCCAAAGGGTTTGCCAAGGAGTTCAGTCTGCTCCAGGACTACGAAGGCACTGATAAATGGCCCCATTCAAAGAAGACAAGGCCCAAAGGGCTTGTACAAAGCAACCACCTCCCTGTGTCCCAGCCAGAACTTCTGCCTCCTGCCGCCCCAGGCTGCCACCAAGGTCCCTTCCTCCAGGACAGCCTCTGTGCTGCCGAGGTTCTAAGTGCTCTGTGTCCTGTGATAGGGTTTCCTAGCAGGGAGCTTCTGGCCTCCTACCTGTCTACAGTGTGTGCCGTGGATTCTGCCATTTAGGACGCAGTAGGGCTGGAGAAGGGCTGGCTTAGAAGGGCACAGAACACGGCTGGCACTGGTATGAATCACACTGTGGAGCAGTGTGGAGAGGTCCCGGAGGCTCCGCTGGCAGCCCTAGGGCTGGATGGCAGCAGAGGCCTGGGGGCGCCCCTATCCCACCAGGATGGTAGGGTTGGAGTAGAGGTGAGGGGAAGGAGTCTGCCTGCTTCCATCTGCATCCTCTCCTCTTTCAGCTCCCAGCCAGCCCTGCAGATAGTTGAGGACAGGGATCGGTGCTGTGCCCCTTGCCCCTGCAGAGAAGAGAGCTTTGCACAAATGTTTGTGTATAACCTACCTCATCCTCTATGCATCTTAGATGGCTTATTACGGTGTCAGTGATATGGAAAAAGCTAGCATGCTGTATTGTTTAGGGACTAAAGACAAGAAAAATAAATTTGTACATATTCAGCACAGATGCAACTTTTTCCCAGTATTTTCCATCCAAATACACATATGTTGAACTGCAGGTGTGCGGAATAAACTGTCCTGGACCACCGTCTCCTTATCCCCAGGGGTCTCAAAGCTTCTCCTCTCTATGCCCCTGCGACACTGAGCTTCAACCTTCAATACTCCTTGGGGGCACCTCAGAGCTGCAGCCCAAGGGGCCCAGGCTCATTGTGGTGCTGGGGGCGCCAGCAGCGGGAGCAGATGGAGCAGGGAGGACCTGCTTCACCACCCGCCTTTCCCTCAAACCAACCGTAGGATGAGAACACGATGTTTTCTGCACAGAGTAGGTGCCCAGTGAAGAACCTGGCAGCCTCCGTTTTTTCTGAAGAACAGAAAAGCCACAAAAGTCTGGCTGGAAAGAGGACAAAAGGGAGTGGGAGGGAAAGACTTTCACACTAGGAAAGAATTTCAAACTGAGATTTTATCAGAGAAAAAGTCCCATTGTGGGCCACCAGGGCCAGATGGTGCCGGCCTGGGATCTGAGGCGGCCAGCTCAGCTGTCCTCCAGCCGCCCGAGATGATGACTTGCCGTGGGACGAGGAGGAAAGGCAAGGGTCAGTTGTGGTTTAGACCCAGAGTGTCCCCCAAAAGACTCTTGGGTTTAGAGATGGGGCTTTGGGAAGTAATTAGGCCATGAGTACCAATCTTATCAATTGATTAATCCAGGCAAGGCATGGTGGCACAAGCCTGTAATTCCAGGACTCTGGGATCCTGAGACGGGACTGCAAATTCCAGAAACTCATCAACTCAGCAAGACTCTGTCTTGAAGTAAAAAATAAAAAAGTAGGACATAGCTCAATGCACGGGTACAATCAATATATAGATGATAGATAGATAGACAGATAGACAGATAGAAGCAATCCACTGATGAGTTCACAGTGAATACACTGGGCCTGGCTGGACAGAGTGGTTCATTGGCGCACAGCCTGGGAAGACATGTCCTTGTCCCCAGGCACTTCCTCCCTCTGCTTCCTGGTGGCCATGCGGTGAGCAGCTGTCCTCCACCAGGCCCTGGGCCATGACATTTCTACCTCGCAGTGTGACCATGGCCGCAGCCTCAGAAACCACAAACGAACTACACTTTTCCTCCTTTACATTGTGGGAATCAGGTTATTTTGTCTCAGAAACAGAAAGGTGATAAATACAGGTGCTGGGAAGGCTTGGCACAGAGCTGGAGCTGTGAGCCCTGTACCCCAGGCCCTTACCTTTCCTGCACTTCTGCAGAACCATAGGTGGAGGACACGTATCCACCAGGGTGTCCTTCTTACACTCTGAAGGATCCTGGCTGGTGTCATCCCCCCCGGAACCAAGCATCTTTTTCCTTGTGCCCTTTTAGCCTTCAGTCTTTGGGCCCTGTGGCCTCATGGACTTGTTCTGGCAAGGACCTTGCCCACAGTTCACGGGCTCAGCCTTTGTCCAGCATCCTGCTTATGTATAAGGGATGCATCATGCTGACTTCTCCTGCCAGTGACTTCCAGGCCTCAAATTCCAGCAAGGAGACTCTTCTGCCTCTGAAGCTGCAACACAAGTCAGCCTCAGTGAAAAGCTGCAAGCCTTGGAAACAACCATGGTGGGATTGACTGTGTGTGTCATATGACAAAGCCCTGATCGCCACTGTGATGGTATTTGGGGGTATAGTCTTGAAATGTAATTAGATCATGAGGGTAAAGTCCTCAAGATGGGATTACTGCCCCAATAAGAAGAGGTATAGTAGCTCTCTCTCCACCATGAGAAACAGTAAAAAGGCGTTCTCTGAGCCAGCAAATGGGCCTTCACCAGACACCTACTCTGCCAGCACTGTGGTCTCAGGCTTCTCAGTCTTCAGAATTATGAAAAACAAACTTCCGTTCTGAAAACTGCCCAGTCTGTGGTATTGGTGATAACAGCCTGAACTGACTAAGACAGACTGACTATCAGTAGGAAACTGGTTGAATAAATAATATAACTACACAATGGAATGTGACATGGCCATTTTAAAGAGTGAATTAGAATTGGTCACATGCCCACTGGAAATTATCTCTACTATGTAGTAGGTAAAACCAGTAAGACCAGAATTGGAGGTATAGAAAAACTCTTTTTATGTAAATAGAAAGTACATAATCTTTGCTGGTTTAAAGTGAACTCCTACGAGTGTACATCCACTGAAGTCTCCTTTGAGGAGGGGCACTTGGCTTGTCTTTGTTCAGTTCCTCACACTGTTATTTTAAAACTCTATGTATGTGGTCATTTTAGCTTAAAGAAGAAGGCCTGCATGTAGGGAAAGGACATTGGGAGAGGGTGTCCTGTGAAATGAAGGAGTTGACCAGTGAGGAGGAGACCGAAGCCCCCACCAGAGCTCAGCAGGCTGTGACACCGCAGGCATCTCAGCAGCAGCTGTTTCCGATTAATATCACAGCCCTCCCGATGGGTGGAATGTAAACCACATACCAATTATGAGAATCCCAAGAAGGAAACTCCCTCTTCCGTCGGTCTATCCAACCCCGTCTGCCCACCCACCCACGCTGGGCTGCAGTGTCTCCCAAGGGCCGGGAGGAGGAGAGGGAGGGGAAGGGAAGAGGAGAGAGGGCTCGCACCTGTAGATGATGCTGCTTCTCTCCTCAGCACAGGGAGAATAAGAAGCAGGCAGCGAAGTCTCTCACCCACACCTTCAGAGCTGCGGCTGGCAGAGGAGAGGATCCCCACCCCTGGCACCGGACACACCGGGAGCCATCGGCCCCCTGCAGAGTGCTCGGGAGCAGAGCAGCCAAGGCAACCAACCCTGCCGGAAAGGCTGCTCCAGGATTTTTCCAAGCTACCTCCTACCTCTTCCAGCCTCCTGCCTCGACTTGGAAAGAAACAGTCAATCCGATTCCATCCCTATTTCCGGAACACCTCCTGTGTCCTAGGAGAGTCAAGAATGTGAATGAGAGGTTGCCCCATCCCCTGAGGCTTCCAACTCCCTGGGGTTCACCCTGGTGGCCATTGGAAAAGGAGCCCCCTTTCTGGCATCGCTGTCTGGGTCCCAGCCAATAAGCCAGATCTGTTGTCCAGGGCTGTCTAGCGTGAGTCAGGAAACCAGGGTTTTATTCCTGGAGTTAGCACTAGCTGGAGGCTGATTTAGGATACCTTAGTTTTTCTCCTTCGGTCTGTTTCTTCAGCTACAAATCGTTCTTGAGGACAGTATAAAGGACACACTGCTCCTCGGCACCTGTGTAGGGAACGCGAGCCTGTGTTTCCTGGGGGGACTGGCCTTTGGGGCAGTGAGAAAAGCCAAGTCCCCCAGATCAAGGCAGGTGGGAACAGGAGGTAAAATACAAGGAGAGCCCAGGGGCCTCACTGGGCAAGAAGGAGAGCATGGTAAGTACTGGGAGAAGGAAGGAAGGGGTTCAGTGCAGGGATAGAAAGGAAGGCTGTCCAGGCCTTGCTGGACTCTGGAGGAAGGCGGGTCTGGGGGTTGGTGTTTATGTGGGAGAAGGGGTGGCTGATGGAGACTGACTGGAAAGTGTTTTGGAATCTGAAGTTGATGGGACCCTAGTGAAAGAGAAGGGCAGGAGATGTGAGCAGAGCAGTGAATGACAACAAACAGACGGCCGTGCTCTGAAATCTGCAGAGCTGGAAATTGGTTCTCTCCAGCCACCAGTGCCTCTGTTCTCTGATGCTCTGGCAGCCCCTGCAGGGACACTGTGCAGTAAAAAACAACCACAGGGCCACCCAGAATGTGCCCTGCTCCTGGGGTCCCCACAGGACAGCCAAGCTAAATTCCAGCTGACTTTCTGAGAAGACCAGTGAGAAGAGCCCATAGAGGAAGTGACAGACGTGGTGACACATGTCAGAGAAGGCTCAGGGCCATGCTTCAAACCAAGGCACTTTCTGCTCTGACAAAACCTGTCCAGGGTCACGCAGCTCCTTATCTATTGTTGCTGAACAAACTACCACACGTGAAGCAGCTTAAGCAAAACACATGTGTGATTTCCTGGAGCCTGTGGGTCAGGAACAGACAGGTGCTGTGGGGCCAAACAGCCAGGCTTGGGTCGTGGTTGCAGCCTAGGCAGCGGCTGGGCCTCACCTGCAGCCTCAGCCGGAGAGGGACCTGCTTCCGGGCCTTTGTAGCCATCCTCAAGGGGCTGTGATTTAAGCGCTATGGAGGTGACAGCCTCAGATTCCTGCTGACTGTGGCCAAGGCTACCTCTGTTCCTGGCCTTAAACCTCTGTGCACATCTGTGGCTTCAGTGACACACACCTGTTGCTTCATGTGACTTTGAAGCCTGTCTAGGTCTCCCCTGGGGACCCAAAGTCCAGCACTCACCTTCTATCAACAATGCTATTATACTGCAATTTCATATTTTAAAGACCACATCACTGTATTCTCTGACATGTGATCTATGGCAGGGGAGCTCTGGATTTCATTGGCCTTTAAGGGAACCATCAGAAACAAGGAATTTGATAGATAGGACTCATTGTTAGAGTCACAGGGAGCACTTTTTCCCTGGTTAGCCTTTTTCTAGGCAAGAAAAGTTAGGAGGTGCGTGGAGCGCATCTACCAGAAAGCCCAACTCTGGCTGGGCGTGGAGGGACAGAAAGGTGTTGTCCTGCCTGTGACAATGAGTGTAATGTGCCATCCACCCCCAGGCAGTGAGATGTCAGCATGGTTGCAAAAATGCAAAATGCTAAAATGCAAACACTTAAGACAATGCTGTTAAAGGATTCTGTTTAACTCCGGAAGGTATTACACATGTAGAGTTGAGTTTTAAAAAACTCACAGAAGAGTACTATAGTAAGACCTCCATTACTATATAGTAAGACCCCATTTCACCACATCAACTATGGGGGGGCGCTGTTTCTGTCATGGAGTAGATATGAAAATTGTATCAAAACTATCTTATGGGCTGGATTCTGTGTAATTATCATTACCCTTTGCTTATTTGTATTTTTTAAAAATCAACAGGTATTCATTATATAAAAAACTGTGAAAGCATAAAAGAAAAATTCCTGTTTATTACACTTTGGGAATAGACCAATGAGGAGGGCCACCCAGAGGACTCCTTGAATAAAGAGCAATTATCTCCACTTTGGCCAAACCTGGCCCTGTCTCCATGTACTGATATGCAGAGCTGGCTGTGCCATTTCCTTTTCCCTTCAAGTGGCTCTAAGCAATGTAAACAGGGCTGGCTGAGGTACTGATGGGTAATTTTTGAAGCCAGGTGACAGTCACTGTTTCCTCGCCCCATGACTCCCCAAAAACATGGCTGAGCCAGGTGGGATGAAGAGCCAGGGCTCTCAACTGGGTGGAACCTTAAGATAAGAGGCTGTGACTTCCCAGGCAGAGAAGTTTGCACATCAGAACCGAAGCACTGCCCACAAAACATTAGATGCTGCCGCAGTTGTGTCATGCAGATTACTCTTTCTGTATACCCTTCCCTCTGCGTGTTGCAGAGACAATCTCAGGCCACCTGTCTAGCCCAGCTCGTAGCATTCACATATTTCCTGCCTTTCTCACAGTCACTCATCCTCAAGCCACTTTCTTCTTCAGGAGTTAATAAACCCCGGGTTGGGCCCTGAGTTGAGGCCTTTGTTCTGATGAGCCTTCATCATGGCTGGACTTAGGACCTCCCCCCATAACTATAATTATGTCTTAGTGTCTTTATTCTCACGTGTGTTGCACTGGAAGTGGTAGATTGGAATTAGCTTATTGGAGTTCCAATAACTTTTCCATAGAATTGCAAATATAAACTTTCCAGATCAAAATGAGGACTAGGAAAGGCTCTCTATGGACATGAAGCTCCATGTACCACAGCTGCAGCGTGCTTGTCATAGTGTGCTCTCTGCACCTTATGAAGAAGGGACTTACTCTAGCTCACTCTCGGATTCCCTTTGACTCGCCTGCTCATTACAAATATGCACCACTAAAGGACTGCAAACCAGGACTGGCCCTGACCCTCAGCAGAGAAGGCTGATGTACCCAGTGTAGCTTCTCTGGATACCCCAGGCCAGCCTGAATCAGACCCGTGCATGACCACATTCTCCACAGCTCTTATCGTTGTCCTTCAAGCGTTGCCTTATGTCTGAGGACAAGGCCTCCAGTCACACAGCTGCAATCATATAGCTGGTCATATAGCTGCAATCTGGCATGGATCTCTGCCTTAGGTTTCACTTCCTATTTGCAAAACAGTTCTGTTTTCTAGACTAGGAAATAAAGAGGCCCTTCTGGGTGTCACTAGGTGCTCCTCCTGCCCCCCCCCATCCTATCTTGGCCTACATGAGCAAGATTAACCTATGCTTACCACCAGGGCATCCAGTCCCCACACAGCTCCTGAGGGAATTTGGTTCTACATCCTTTCCACCTGAGCTCTGTGAACAACCCTCTTCCGGGTGGAGATCAGACTTGGGGGAGGGTCTCCCCTCATCACTCTTCTCCCTTAAAGCCAGCAGTCTTTCCCCTTTCTCAGTTGGCTCTCTAGTTCTGGGGTGCATTATGTCCTGAAGCAAGTCTGTAAAATTAGCATTTTGGGAAACGCTTTCGTTTAAAGGAAGGGTTAGAAGGCACAGCACCAAGGATGGCAAGTGGTCTCACTTCCCTGCCTCTCGCTCCAACCTCCCTTTAAAATAGAAGGCCAGAGACTCAGATAAAGGCTCTCCTGGGGTACATACTCTTTTTCTTCCAAATATTACTGAATGTTTCTGGAATCTCTTTGCCATGCCTCCCTCGGCTCTGTTATACCTGGGATCAACTTTGGAATTCTCACACCAGAGACAGAAACATCCTGTAGACTCCAAGACCCATCTCTGCCCTCTGCCAGAATCTAGCACTGCTCTAGGTGGCCACAAGGCACTCCCGTGGTCAAACAGAAACATTCCTCAGCTGTACGGCGGCCAAGACAAAGACCACAGAAAGTGGTCTACAAAGAAGAAACATGGGACATGGGCAGAGAGAGACAGGGCTAGTACTCCAGGAATGGCACTTGAAAGCCATCTGACCACACTGAAGGGTGGGCCAGTTATGTAACAGCAGTCAGGATAGTGTGGTCTTACCATTGGAGGAATTTAACCGTCCTGTCAATAGGATGGACAGAATGGGGAGTCCAAGAACACCCATGCATCTACTCTCAATGATTTTGGACAGGAGTGGTGAAGCAGTTTGATGGGGAAAAATACTGTCTTTCAACAAGTAGTGCGAAGATACAGAGAGAGACACATGCAAGAGCACCTAGACCACATGGAAAGAATTAGCAGAGGTCTGAGGTGTGGTCAGGGAACGGGTGTGGACTTAGTGTCTGTAAGGCCCTGGCTTCTGTCTCTAGCACACAAACACCAAAAAGACCTGCTCAAAATTAATAAAAAACCTAAATGTAAGCCCTAAAACTAAAAAGCTTATGGAAGAAAACAAAGGAGTAAATCTTCATGACACAGGATTTGGCAGCAAGGTTATATAGTTCGAGTATCCCTTACCTGAAATCCTTCAGACTAGAAGTATTTCTGATTTCAAAGCTCTTCCGATTTGGGGAATATGAATAGTGGAGATGGACTAAGTCTGCATATGGAATTTATGTTTCATACACACCTCTGTACTTCCAGAGGGCGGCATATTGGTGCATCTGCCTTTTTGACTACACAAGAAGTCAGGTGTGAAATTTTCCACTTGTGGTGTCCTATCAGTTCTCAAAAAGTTCTGAATTTTGGAGCACTTTGGATTTCATATTTTTACACTAGGGATACTCAGCTGTTTCAGTTACTTTTCTCATTGCTGAAATAAAATACCCAACACCCCAAATTAAAGGAGGAGAAGTTTATTTAGCTCGCAGTTTGTAGATATTTCAGTCCACAGTTGGCTGGCTCCAAGGCAGGGAGGGTGGCCTGGTAGAGGGCGTCACAGAGGAGCAACAGGTCACAGCAAGCAGAAGGCAGCACAGCAGTGAAGTAGCAAGCAGCCAGTGAGAGCAGAGACCCTCTTTCTGCCCCTTATAGACCGTCCA